AATAATAAAATGCTTTTTAAAAAAAAAAAAAAAAAAGATAACTACTGTGTTTAATAACCAGGGTTTCTCTTCTATTGTTTTTTAAGATACAAAACAACCTTCAAAAGCTGCTTGAGAATGGTGACTGAGAGACCAGATTGCTGGGGCCAACACATTACCTCACGTTTCCGTGAAGAAGGTGCTTCCTGAGAGGGTCTGTTGAGCGCCCCCTGCTGGCCAGAGGCGCAAGAGGCTGAGAATTCTGTTTTGTGCTTGGATGTCTCCAGCTCAGGAAAGGAGGAAGGGAAAGATTTTGCTTCTTGTGCAATAAAAGTTGATCTTGTCTCTCTGAAAAAGTTTTTGCTGCTGCTGCTGCCTGAAGAAAACAGACCTATCTCGGGAGGTCTCAGCGAGATCCTAAAGGATGCCTGTATGTGGGTTGTAATGGTCAGGAAACACTCCGTGCTTTTCGGCCCTTCCCAGCTTCCTCCTCGCTCCCCTCGCTCCCTTACACCCATCTTAACCAACCTTCAGACTATGGGGTACGCAAACAAATTCAATTTCGTCCTTTAAAGAATTAGCCATGAGCCTCCAAAAGGGCAGTGAACATCTCCAGAAGAACAGGCTTGCTCCAGACACCTGCATTTTGTCTCCGCCCCCTCCCCCTTCTGCTGTTATGTTCTGACTTCTGTGACCTGTGTATCTTAATTTCTCTATTCAGTTTTGGAAGCACGTCAGGTAAAGTTAAATGATCCCGTCTGCATTTTGCTTTGTTTTGTTTCTGTGACTAATTCCTAATTGGAGTGATTCTTACCCAACTCAGGTCAGGAATCTGTGAGGCATGATACTGAGATACTAAATTAAACTCACTCTGAAACCAAAACTAATCTTTAAGCCAAAAGTTGTAGTAGCGATTTAATGCAGGATGAAAAACACTGAATTTCTCAGACTGTAAGTGGACTACAGTAGCAGCTTTGAGGCAAGATGTCTGTATTGGATGCTAAAACCCACTTAAAAGTATGGTAATTATACGTCTCTCCTTTGCTGACTAAAATAAATAACTGGTGGTGTGCTAACTTTATTTACAGTATCGGTTGACTGGTTTTTATTAATAATTATTTAGGGTACCATAAGATCTGTATGTATAAAACATTCTGTTTCTGTCTGCAATGCATTTTATAATCATTTCTATGAAATGTATTTTGTTTAATCAGATAAGCTAATAAGTAAATTGGTTATATCATTTGTATTTGTTAGCCTACTGGACAACAACTGTGCCTGGTGCACCCCGGCTTTTAATAAATACTCATTGGTTATAACTCTAACACTGTTTCATGGGTTTGTAAATTCTTTTAACTAAGACTTACTGTATTTTTTAACTCTCCTCACCTCTATACTATGTTTTGTTTTTTTTTTAACTGAGGACAGTTTTATTAGAGTTTAAAAGAAAAGCCACAATCGGTTAAGGTAGAAATCTGAGCAGCTGCTAGGCGGAGGAGAATGAAGAAGAGAAAAAGGAAAAAAACATTGTGTTTGAATTAAGCAGCATGGAGGTCAGTCACATGGCAGGGAGGAAAGCATTGGAGGAAGGGTAGGAAGCCCAGCATTCCTCAAAACACACCCAGGCTCTGGCCATCATCCCAAAGGAAAGGACAGAAGAAAAGAAAAAGTTTCACCTTTCTGGGTCCTAACATAGAAAGGTGGGCAGACCCAGCCAAACCTCCTGGAAATCATGGAGACTGACTTTCAATTTCATACTTCTTTCCCCCCAAGTATTTATTCCAAAAGTCAAAACTGATTTCTTAAGTTCCTTGAGTTATAGTGGCATCAAGGGAAGAAAATGAACTTAGAAATCAGTAGACCAGTCTTTGATTTCTAGGTTTTAAGTTTTATGAGGTGTGTGGCCTCAGGCAAGGTATTTGGCCATCTCCTCCTCCCAACCCCACTGCCCCCATTTCATTAATGAGGCTGAAAGTACCCAGGAAAAGTCCCGGTGTAACAATGGCCACCTCTAAAGAGCCTAGAGCTATGCTGGGCAAGTCATAAGTTGTATCTATGTGTGCATGCCTGTATGTGTCTGTGTAGGCATGTACATGCCCCAGCACATGTAGCGGTCAGTGAACAACTTTCAGGAGTTGGTTATTTCTTTCCACCATGGTTTCTGGAGATGGAACTCAGACTGGAAGGCTCACTCAGCAAGCACTTTTACCCACTGGGCCATCTCACCAGCCCCATTCTCTTTTCTTTTCTCTTTTTTTCTTTTCTTTCCTTTCTTTCCTTTTCTTTTGTTGAGATAAGATCTCACTATGCAGCTTTGGCAGAAACTCACTGTAGACCAGGCTGGCCTTGAACTTGCCAAAGTTTTCTTGCCTTTACCTCCCAAATACTGGAATTATAGTAGTGTGCTGCCGTGCCCAGCATAGATATTATTTTAATTTTATGATTAGTGCTTCAGTTTTATGAAGCTTCAGTATCAATACTTCATACTCAGAACTCATCAGGAATTCAAGACTGAGTTGGCCACCTCTGAGGAACAATTTTCTTTCTTTGGGAAGGGGGCTGGTTGAGACAGGGTCTCACAATGTAGCTCAGGCTGTCCTCAAATTTGCTATCATCCTGCCTCAGTCTCCCTAGTGTTGGAATTTCAGGCATGGGCCACACATTCAGCTTAAGTGAAGCATCTTTGACCCCTGAATTTCCTGTCTACGTTGTACGTAAGTGCTAAGCCTCTTCTAGAGTGGGGGGAAAAACAGGACCAGTTTATCTCTTGTGAAGTTCTTTTAATCTCTGTATTTCTAACCACTTAATGTGGTGTCTCTATCTCTCCTTTTTGCTCAGTATGCACACACACACACACACACACACACACACACACCATCCATCATGCCAGTACTTACATACTGTATATAGTAATGAAAAAAAGGATGAGGAAATAACCCTTGTCTACAGATAAAGCCACTGTCTCAATGGGTTTTTGTGACTCACACAACTTTTTGCCCTTTAGGTCTTTTAAGAATCCTGTCAGAAAGGCTGGAGCAGTGGCTCAGCAGTTAAGAGTATTTGCTGCTCTTCCAGAAGACCTGGTTCAGTTCCCAGCACCCACATGGCTACTCAGAACCACCCAGTTCCAGGGGCACCCTCTTTCATGGGCACCAGGCACACCTACAATGGGCATGCAAGCAAAAAAATCATACACATAAAATAAAAGTATTTTTTTAATAGAACCTTGCCAGAAAGCTTCACGTTGATAATTCTTTCTGAAAGTTGCCTGGGTTATAAAAAGCCTTGTGATTATAAAGTCTCGTGATACATAAAGGTATGCAATCTCTCGGCACGTAGAGAAGCATTTATCCCTTATCCCTTTGTTCAGCCTTCACTGCCTGTTGTTAAGCATATTATAGACAGAAGCCTTTGTCCCCCTGTCTTCACAAAGCTGTAAGTATGCATTGACGATGCTTCTTGGTCGGTTTCTGTGTGTCCCTAGGCTACATGTGCATAAATTAGTGTAGCAATGTATGTTGCTTTATTGTCATTTTTTTTAATATTTTATTTATTATTTTTATTTTATGTGTATGAGTGCATTGCCTGCATGTATGTGAGTGCATCCGTGTCATGCAATGCCGAGGAGGTCAGAAGAGGGCTTTGGATTCCCCTGGAACTGGAGTTAAGGGCGGTTCATAGACTCCATGTGGGTGCTGGGAATTGAACCTGGGTCCTCTGCAAGAGCTGTCAGTGCTCTTAACAGTTGAGCCATCTCTCCAGCCCCTATTGTCATTTTCTACTCCATAGGATAATGTGACTAAGAAGCTTTGTCCCCCAAGCAAGTGTCAGCTCCTCCCCTCCTGTGTCCTCAGCCTCTCTTCTAGGAATCCCCTTGACCCCTCACTCATTCATTTGAGGATTATGACAGTGATCATGCCTTCCTGCCTGTGTATATAGGGATCACAGTAGGAAGGAAGGGGGAAAAACCTTCCCCAAGACACAGAGCTGGGGATTGCTTGTCCTGGGTGAACGCTGCCTAGACACAGGGTAGAAGTCAGTTTGTTAACCACAGATAGGAATATTTATGCAGTTTTGTAGCCACCATCATCCATCACCCTAACAACATTCAGACTTGTGTTTTTTTCAATTTGTAACACTTTATTGACAGAGCTGGGGATTGCTTGTCCTGGGTGAACGCTGCCTAGACACAGGGTAGAAGTCAGTTTGTTAACCACAGATAGGAATATTTATGCAGTTTTGTAGCCACCATCATCCATCACCCTAACAACATTCAGACTTGTGTTTTTTTTCAATTTGTAACACTTTATTGACTTGTAATTTACATATAGCAAAGGATGCTGTTTAAAATGTACAACTTGAGAGGGCTGAAGAGATAGATGGTTCAGCAGTCGGGAACAGTAGCTGCTCTTGCAGAAGATCCAGGTTCGAGTCCCAGCAACCACATGGCTGTTAGCAACTGTCTGTAACTCCAGTTCCAGGAGATCTTTTGATCTCTTTAGGCACAGCATGACATGGGTGTACCTATCTACATGCAGGTAATACAGTCATACACATAAAATAAAATTTTTAAATGTACAGCTCGGTAAGTTTGACAGAGATATGACTTTATTCACTCCTTATCGTTCAGTAGTATTTCATTGTATCTATCATAAACTTTGGATAGACATTTGGATTGTTTCTATTCTAATATTTTATTTATTTTTATTTTTATGTTATGTGTATGAATGTTACATCTGCATGTATGTAAGTGCACTTGTGTTGTGCAGTGCTCTCAGAGGACAGAAGTGGGCTTCAGATCCCCTGGAACTGAAGTTATGAACAGTTGTTAGCTGCCATGTGGATGCTGGGATTTGAACTCAGGTCTTCTATAAGAGCAGCCAGTACCCTTAACCACTGAGTCCTTTCTCCAGCCCTACTCTTTTTTATAAATAAAATACTATAACCATTTTAGTACAAGTCTTTGTATAGATTTTTTTTTCATTTCTCTTTGATAAACAGATAGGAATCGAAAGGCTGGGTTGCATGGTAGGTATATGCTTAACTTTTTAAGAAGCATAGAACTGGGCTGAAGAGATGGCTCAGTGGTTTAGAGTGTGTACTGCTCTTGCAGAGGACATTCCCAGCATCCATATCAGGAAGCTCATGCTGCCTGTACCTTCAGCTCCAGGGGATCCAACACTCCTCTCTGGCCTCCATGGGCATTGCATGACATGGGTGCACTTACATACATGAAAGCAAAACACTCATACACATAAAATAGATGATAGATAGATAGATAATAGATAAATAAGTAAATAAATAAATAAATAATATTCTTGTAACACATTCCGGTTGAATGTGGTGGCTCAAGCCTGTCATCCCAGCAATCAGGAAGTAGAGGCAAGTGGATCCCTGTGATTTCAAGGCCAGTCTGGTCTACATATAGGATCTAGACCAGTCAAGGCTATGTAGCAAGACCTTTCTGATAACCAACAGGAACAAAAGCAACAAAAAACTTTGTTATATATTCTGAATAAATGTTCTTTCCCAATTATTTACTTTGCAAACATTTTCTCCCTAATCATGGCTTGTCTAGTCTATGTCTTTCAAAGATAGACTCGCTATTCTCCAATCAAAGCTCTATTTGCAAATTCTAGCTACCTGCTTACTCCCTGCTCCATTTCTGCAAGGAGAGATCTTCAGCCTAAGATTCCTTCCTACACCACAGCCTGAACACACTCAAGGCTGAAAGTGGGGCAGTGATAGGACTTAATTCTGTCATTTCCCTTCTCTCAGGCATCACTGTCCTTCTTTGGTTGATTCCCAGTGTCTTAAAAAGACCTGTTTTATATATTTTGTCTGAATTTTTCAGTTATTTCACCCTGTTACTTCCTCTTGGATAGAAATGAAGGTCCTAATAATTAAAAAACAAAGAATAAATAAGTTAAAAATCAAAGAAATGAAAGTCCTGTGCTAAAGAGAATTATGTAACATCCAGAATTGTGAACCAAGTAGACATAATTATTTACATGACAACAGAAAAGGGAAGCAAAACGCTAAGGTAACACAGAGGTGGTAAACATAAGTTTTGAGGAGCAGGAGGGAAGTGGTTGAAATTGTTAAAATTTAGAAGCTCAGAGGAGAGACTTCATGGGACTGAAAGTCAGACCTCTGAGGGCGGCACAACCAGGACCTGCTCGCATCTCAGAAAAGGTGCCTAGAAACTGCTTTTGCCAGCATTGGGGAACCAGCAGATTGGAATGAGCTCGCTGACTGGATAAGCTGCTATTTCTATTCACCCACAGACAGAGCAATGATAGACCAAAGAAACAATGCTATCCAG